TTTGTTTTTTACACTCAGACGTTACCATCAACACCTTGAGATTTTACAAGAATAATCAAACATGATTTTGTCCAGCGTTAAATATCGAATTAGTTATTTTTCCACCCGGTGATAGTCCCGTCCCAGCGAGGACAAACATTTCGGGTGCATTTTAGGACAAACGGCCGCCTGTAAATCTTCTGGGACTGAAGTATGAAACAAATGTGCATCATTTTCTTCCCATTCAGAGCAGGAGGTCTCACTACCCTCTGAGTTTTCTTGGAAATCTGGCCCAGAGCTCAAACCGCTGCGTTAAACTTTAATGACTCATGTGATGAAGACTTTAAAACTTTATCCCCACAAGAGACGACTGACATTTATGTCCCTACAACATGAGACAATTGAAAACTGTTAGAGAAAGGGGGGGGGGTGTGTTGCCTTCCCTTCTTTTCTTTTATTTGCTGACGCCCCCAAATGACTGCAAACTGCTGCCAACTCTTTGGGCTGTAATTATAAGGCCCGGGGAAGCCGCTGCTCTGATCCAATCACAGAAGTCCCTCATGAGAGAACAACACCCTCCCCGCTTCCCATCCCACTGGACAGCCCTGACTCTGGGACCGGTCCCAGAGCAGTCATCTGCTTGTTCCAGCGTTTCCTAGAAGGCTGCGGCACAAACAGTGCAAACATTCCTGCTCATCTCTGTCTGGCACACCGTGGGCCGGGGAGCAGCTGAGCAGAACCAGGATGGAATTTGATTATTAACGGAGACAAATCCGGCTGCAGAGCATCAATCTGCCAAACACAGATCCAGTCTCGCTTAGAGTCACTTGACGTGCCCACAGCCAAGTTTCTGTGAGACTTTCAGTGCTTTACGAACGTTCTTCTGACACTAGAGGTTCAGAATAGGTCCACCTACACTGCGAAAAAGTCATTTTTTCTTAAAATAATTTCATTTTTTCTTGAACTGAGGAGGAAAGTGAGACATTTTGCAAACGGAACGAGACAATTTACATTTAAGATAAGAAAAAACATTTGAGTTGTCTTATTTCAAGTGCATATTATCTAATTATTTTAATACTAAGAGTGAAAATACTCCCATTGGCTAACTATCTCATTTACCTACTCAAAATAAGGGTAAATGAACTCAATTTAAGACATTTTTACTTATTTCTAGATCAGTTTTCCAGTGTGAAAGCAGATTTCACACTGGAAAAATGGAAATCTAATTAAGCAATTTTTACTTGAAATAACTGCATTTTTTCTCCAATTCAGTACGAAAGTGAGACACTTTGCCAATGAAACGAGACAATTTACATTTAAAATAGGAAAAAACAAGTTCATATTATCTAATTTTCTTATTTTAAGAGTAAAATTACTCATTTGATTGGCAAACAATCTCATTTACCTGCTCAAATTAAGGGTGAATACACTTAATTTAAGAATTTTTTACTTAATTCTAGATCATTTTTGCAGTGCATTTTCTAGACCTGAAAAAGGGAAGGAATTCCTGCACTGCAAAAACGATCTAGAAATAGGTAAAAAAATTCTTAAATTAAGTGTATTCACCCTTAATTTGAGCAGGTAAATGAGATCGTTTGCCAATCAAATGAGTAATTTTACTCTTAAAATAAGATAATTAGATAAAATGCACTTGAAATAAGACAATGCAATTGAGTTTTCTTATTTTAAGTGTAAATTGTCTTGTTCCATTGGCAAAATGTCTCTTTTACCTCCTCAATTCAAGAAAAAATGCACTTATTTTAAGACAAAATGACTAATCTAGATTTAGATTTTTTGCAGTGTGTGGATTTGTATTGTAAGGAAAAGTTAATGTGCTGAAGTTTGTCCCTCTGGGGTTACCATCCTGTCCAACCTTCATTCCCTAAACATGTTAGGGAATGAATCTTGTGAGGCGTTCATGATCCAATGCTGCGATGAAAGCAGATCTATAAACGTCCACGAGCCGATTTACCGGAACTGCAAACAAGCGAGTTCTTCCTCTTCTTCTTCCAAACTGACAAGTCCTACCAGGGGCATCTCAGGCATTCAGTCTGACAGGTGGTTTTTGGACGTATAGTGT